AAGAGTGTTCCCACACATGGCTCCTGCATGGCTCCCTTTCCCGTTTCAGGCGCTGAGGGTCAGGAGACACCCCTTGCCTCCCCGGAGAGGAGCCCAAATGGCCTCATTACTGTCTATCTTCCACAACACTCTGGCGTAGCTGTTGAGAGGCTGACTCACCTGCTCTTCTCCAAGAATCCTGAAGTGATGGAGCTCTTTAATCAAGGAGTTGGGGCAGCCAGCTGTTGGGAAGAAGAGTTAATCACCGACGTGTCATATTCCCACTCTGTGCAGTTATGACTACCAGTGACCAGTGTCGCTTGCGGGGAGGACACAAATGCTTACCTGCAAAACAGTCTAACCAACCTCCAGACACCAAACCCCCGAGGGCACTCTGCCTGCAGCCTGCCCCCCACTGTGATTCTTTAGGAAGGAGCCACACGTGACCCTGGCCAGGCCTTTTCTCCCCTCCTGATTGGGACCTGGCCTTTGTGGGGCCTTAGGACACCGTGTCATTTCTGCCCAGCATGTCACTTATCCCTAATATAGAGCCAGGATTTCATGGGGCCAGAGAGGGGGAGTTGGCACACGTAGGTTCATTTCACTTATTTATCACATCCTGTTTCCTCAGCCTCCACGCTGGGCTTCTGCACATCGAGAGTGAAGGATGAAGATGGGGCATCTGGAAGCCCCGTCTTCATGGGATTCGGCTACAGTTTAGAATCCTGCCTGGTTCTTCCAGGAGGATTTGTCAAGACCCTGAAGATGCTGCATTTCCGTTTGGAAAGCGTCTCTTACGGAAAAGACCTGGGAAGAGGGCCAGGGCAGTCTTGTGCCCATCATCTTCTAGTTCTACCCGGACAGTGAGAGTCTATGCAAGCTTTCACATTTTCTTTTTTCAGTTGTAAAAAAAAAAATAAGTAAATAAATAAATCATACTCATATATATACATATACATATGTATACATAAGTATATACGTCTGTCTATCTATCTATCTACCTATGGCAGGGCATACTAGTTATCACTTAAAATGTGTTCCATCCCTGCCTTTTAAATAGAATTATTCCACAGTATTAATTTGCAGTCATTTATAATATAAACTCTGGAAACAGAACTGATATAAAAACCTGTTTCTTTGGGATCAAACCTATGAATGACAGAATCTGTTGACATTTCTATTAAGGAAAATGGGTTGTATGAAAATGTGCCAAAGCAACCGCTGAGGCTGAGCCATTTCTCCATATTGTGATGTAAGAACGTGGTAAGTACTGAGGACGTTTGCCTGGGGGAGGGTGGGCCGTGGAGGGAGGTGACTCTCTCCGCAGGGTGAAGGAGTTATCCTTTGCAAGAAGGATTAGATGTGTGCATTATTCTAGAAGGTAGGGTTAAAATGAACAGGTAAAATTACAGCAGGAACACTTGGGTTCAATATGAATAAATTTATAATTTAAAAATGGAATACACTGTCTTATAAGCCAGTAACTGGAGGCTTCCAGACAGAGGCTAAATGACTACATATGCAGAATATTTTAGAGATGTATTTGACTTGGGTTAGTTGCAACTCTGAAACTCTGTGGTCATATGAAATACTGGAACGGAGATTTAGTCTTTGTTACTATATTCAATATATATTCGTCTTCGACATTATTACATTTCATACTCTGAGAAAGTGGTTCGCAAATGTTCACTAAGGTAATACAAAAAAATTTTTACAAATATGAACAAAATGTAAACAGGTGATGTCACCACCTGACAAGAGTCCAAGAAAATATATGGAAATCCCAAGGTGAATATTTTGGTGGAAAACCTAGTAAATTAATTGCCACACGCATGTCCAGTACTACAAAGAAGGAAAGCCAGATCCCGACCTTTGCAAGAGACACTGAGCTGTTTTTCTCCCACTGGAGGCCACGAGGACTTGCAGACTGTGGTTCTTTTTGAGAAGTTGTTCATTTCAGAGTTGCTGCTCTGATCTAAACAATTAGTAAAGGTATATTCTGGATCATCTGGTTGGCTGCCATTCAACCAAAAACTGCTGTGGAAATTCAGAGTCCTGTCAGTTCTTGAGTTTTAGATCTCCTTGGGAGCAAGGAGTCATATTTTAGCTTTATGCAACAAATGAGGAAAGGAACATAGGCAGAGAGAATTCCAGGGGCAAATTCCCAACAAGTGAGGGTCCCGTGGTTTGGGGCCAAGTACATGGGGGGAGGAGTTGCACAGGGGGAGAGGCGGCAGAACTGAGGCTCCCCAAGCTCAGGGTCGTAGGCAGGCTAAGATCAGACCACTCAGGGCCCTGTTTGCACCCCAAGCGCTGACTTAGTTTCAGTAAGAGGACAGCATCTGCTACATTAAATTCAGAGAGTTAATTTGAATACTTTCGGTTTTGTGCTTTCATTTATACTTAATTTATACATTTTCATTTGGGTCTTCTAGTTGTATAAGCATAAAAAGTTTCTACCTAAATTTATATCTAGACATATTTAAGAAATATCATTAAAAAACAGTTTCATTCAAACTTAGTTTTAGGGGATATTTTTCTTCCTTCACAAGTGGTCCTTAGCATTCTTCCCACTTGAGAAAAACTGATTTGACTTATCTTAATGCTAGGTAAAATAAAAAACAGAATTTAAAATTAGTCTATTTTCAGAATTTGTATTTTAACATTCTCCTAAGATATAACTAAAAGGATTGATGTCAATGATAGCTCAAACATAAACATCTTTAACAGAAGATTAGCTAATTACCTGAAACACCTGGTGGATGCAATAAACTATAAAAAACAAGGATAGAGATGGCATAGAGTTAGAAGGGAAGAGTTGTAAGGGGTCAAGCTACTTAAGACCAGGGAGGGGTATCTGTAACTGTGCTCATCACAGGAACATCAGCATGGGAAATGGACAGATACAAAGCTAGTGTGAAACAGGTTTTACAAATAAAACTAGAAATGCAAGACGTGAACGTGGAATGCAGTAGCGCAGGGAGAGAGGGAAAAGTTCCCGGAGGTGGGAAGGAGGGCAGATGAAGACCGCGTGAGGACCGGGGTCAATGGTGCACTCTGAATTCTTCCAAATTCTTCACACAGGGTCCACACACACGACAATGGATCATCTTTTGAGGCCACTGCTGTCTACCTGGCCCACATCATGTCCTCGACAGTGAGCAGCCATCAGCTGCCCCGTCATTCAGTCTCTTCTCAAGGTAACAGTTAAGGGACTTCCCTAGTGGTGCAGTGGTTAAGAATCCGCCTACCAATGCAGGGGACACGGGTTCGAGCCCTGGTCGGGGAAGATCCCACATGCCGTGGAGCAACTAAGCCCGTGAGCCACAACTACTGAGCCTGCGCGTCGAGAGCCTGTGCTGCGCAACAGGAGAGGCCGCGACAGTGAGAGGCCCGCGCACCGCGATGAAGAGTGGCCCCCGCTCACCGCAACTGGAGAAGCCCTCACACAGAAATGAAGACCCAACAGAGCCAAAAATAAATATAAATAAATAAATAAATTTATAAAAAAGATAACAGTTAAGAGGCTCCTGTTAAAATAAGTACGTTGGATATCATGCCATCCGCCATGGGTTTTCCGTCTCACCAAGAGTCAACTCCAAGGCCCTCATTGGCCTGTGTAAGGTCCTCCATTGCCTGGCTCACTGTGTAGCCCCTGAGCCTTCTCTCTCCCTTGCTCATTGCACTTGAGCCCCGCTGACCTGCTCTTGGCTCTGACCGCCCCAGGGAGGCTGCTGTCTCCAGGGCTTTGCACTTGCTGCTCCCTCTGTCTGGAAAGCGCTTGACCCTGATATCTGCATGCAGCACTCCCTGCCTCCTTCAAGTCCCTGCTCAAATGTCACCTTCTCAGTGAGGGCTCGCAGGACCATCCTGGGTGAAACTGCAGCCTGTCTTCATCCCCTCAAATCCCCATCACTGTTGTATTTTCTCCATAGCTCTCATCATCTTCTAACCTACAGTTCCAATGTAACATTCACTTTATTTTCTCTCTCCTGCTGCTGAAATGCAAAGGCGACAAGTGCAGGACCATTGCTGTTTTGTCACTGCTCTATCAGCCATGCCCAGAACACTGCCTGGCTGGATGAGCTGTTCAACAGCAGTTGTTCCATGGGTCAGTCATCCGCCGCATGGTCACTGCCCACCAGCTCGGTGACTGTGGCTCCTGGGAGGGGCTCCTCCTCCACCCCTCTTCTTTTCTCACCCCAGAGGGCCCAGCTCTGACCTCCAGCCCTGTGTGTACTTTGCTTATTGGTTAAGCAGACTTTGTCTGACCTCAAACCTCTCTCCCCAGCCTGAACCCCACATGTGAAGATGTCAGTGATGCTTAGAATCCATGATTCCTTTGTACCTCTACTGTACCTTCTTTGCCAATATCCAATATCCAGCTCTGGGTAAACATCACCACCTGTTTTTCCTTCCCCTGTTCCAGTTCTGCCAATCACAGCTAGTATGGTAAAATGGGACTAGAATATCTTCTAAAAGAAATTCAGACCATCTGCCTGAAGCTGCATCCTTGTTGAGAATGGTGCCACTGTAGACTCAGAGTCCACTCACTGTCAAGCAACTTGCTTCTGTCACTTGTCTTTAGCCAGCACCCTCTCCCCTCTCCCTTGGGGACTCTTCCAAATCATCACTATTCTTCTCAATTAACCTTTAACACTTCATTCTCAAAACGGGACCTCACTTGACACAAGTCTAAAAATGTAAAGCAGCTGTGGTGAACATGGAGATGCGGGACCCAGACCCTCTGCAAGGAAGGCTTGTGGCCGAGCTGCAGGAGGACAGCAAGAGATGCCTTGGCCTGCAGTCTGGTCTTCCTCAGCTGCAGAGAGCCGCCTCGCCTCAGGTCACATCTTCCCCAGGACCCCTGAAGCTGCTGACTGGGTGAGGGGGAGGTGGACCTGCCCATCTGTTTTATCCCAACATGAGCTGCTGTTGGGCAACATTTGCTCCCAAGTTTCTGCTGGTGGGCTGAGGCTTTGTTGGGCATGCATGGCAGTTCAACTTCTTATTCAGCCCAATCCTGCCCCGTTCTCCTTTCCCAGGTGCACACCCCAGTGAACATCTTGTACCCGTTCTCTGCTTCAGACCTTCAGAGCCTTCCAGAGAACCCCCCCCCCACGTGCACCCCCCACCCTGGGGCCACTATCAAGTGTACCATCCCTAACTTCATATCCCTTCCCAGTTACAACCCCTCTGTATCCTCCATCTCTACTCCTCCAGGATAAAAGGGGAAATGGTT